CATCATGGAAACCCCCCAGCAGCCTACGCCTACTGCAGCATAACTACGGGAGGATTCAGGGTCACCTGATCTAGCCCTTTAAATGCTTTAGCAAAAGGGAAAATTTTAAGCCTAATCTTAAAAGTAGAGATAATGTCAATTTCCCGAATCCAAACTGGAAGCTGCAGTATGCAGTACTGTCAGTACTCTAGCTGCAGGATTTTCGAGTAGCTGAAAGCTTTTCAGGGAATTTTTAGGACATCTTGATAATAATGAATTACAGTAGTTCAGCCTATCTATCCGGTCTGACAGCGACCCTACGATGTCAGACTTAAAGACCGGATTGGTCAGAACTTAGTGGGCGGGGTTCTGAGCAAAGATAAGCAAAAGAGCTCTCACTTTGATGGTTTTTCGGGTACACAAACCGTGTGTGTGTGTGTGTGTGTGTGTGTGTGTGTGTGTGTGTGTCTTAATGTAGGCTCTACCAAGTGTTTGTAGCTGTTATGTTACAAACATTTCATATTACAAGCGCAGAATAAAGCATAAAGTGCAAACTGTAAATAGCTGCTCACATTATTATTATCAGTCTGTGAGGACGTAAAGAACGTTTTACACCTTTTTAAATCTCATATTGAAGACGCGGTGTCAGTCACAGTAAATCAGTAAAGTAACAGTAAAGAGCTCAGCTCGTCTTCATCCATCACAGCCTTCAGGTTTTCGTTGGAAAAAACAAAAATGATGTTCTTTACCAAAAGAAAAGTGAGTGAGACCTTGACATTGACACTGTATGACAAGGTAATTGGGAAAGTGAGCTCTTTTACGTACTTAGGTGTTGTGTTTGATTCGAGACTGACATGGCGGGAGCATATTGATTGGATTGAAACCAAATGCTAAAAAGTTATTAATGTTATGAGGTGTGTAGCTGGGAGGGGTTGGGGAGCGAGCTCTTCTGCTTTGAAAAGACTTTACCTGGCATTAATTAGGTCGGTCTTTGATTATGGGTGTGTGGCATATGGTTCAGCAGCTCCTTCTGTGTTGAGACGTTTGGATGTTCTGCAATCGGAAGCCCTTATAGTGTGCTGTGAAGCTTTTAAGACGTCTCCAGTCGGTGCCCTACAGGTGGAGATGGGAGAAATGCCCCTAGATCTTAGGAGGAAGCAAGTGTCGGTGAATTACTGGGTTCATCTTGGTGGTCATGGTGATGCACATCCCACAAAGGAGGTACTTTTGGAATGCTGGGAGTATGGAAGAAGTCAGAAGGCTCATTTTGGAAAGGTGGGGAATCAGTGGGCTAAGGAGTGTCAGGTGTATGAACTTAAAATATGTCCTGCAGTAGTGTTCTCTGTGGTTCCCCCATGGTTATTGGAGACTCCTCCTGTGGACTGGTACTTGCTGGATCTGAAGAGAAAATTGAAAGGCAGAGTCGATCTTGTTTCAGCATTTCATTTTCACAGCTTGACTGAATACCCTGAGTGTATTCATGTATTCACGGATGGTGCTAAAAGTCCAGTTACTGGAAGTACAGGGTTTGGAATAGCAGTTCCGTCAAAAAATATTGGAATACACAGACGCACTTCGGATGGACTGGCAGGTATACACGGTTGAAATGGTAGCAATTTTGGTAGCATTGAAATGGGTAGAGTGTTCGAAAATCAGGCAGGTGGTAGTATGTTCTGACTCGGCAGCTGTTCTTTCAAGTCTCAAGTCTTCAAGACTGTCAGCAGAATAAGGTGTTGTGGTGGCAATATTCACTTTCTTTGGGTGCCAGCTCATGTAGGGATCAGTGGAAATGAAAAGGTGGATAGGTTGGCGAAAAGAGCGTTGACTAAAAATAGGACTGAGATGGAAATTACAAGCAGTGGATCTGAAGCGAAAGGT